ACGACCAGCTGGATTTTTTAACTCTAAGAAATAAACTTGATTTAAAGTTTTCATTTGTATTTTTCCTGACAAAGTTCATTATGCAATTCAGTGTTACTTGCAATATTCCTAAATGATGATCCAACTAAAATGTACATCCAACATTTACACGTCTATATGTCAAAAGTGAGGTGTGTTGTAAACATCCCATGCAGGTAATCAATCCATCATAGCACATAAGAAACCAATTCTTTTTATAGCAGACATGCACAACAGAGCCACCATCTGCAGTAACGGTAGCTGATTCTTATATAAAGCTGTACAAAATACAGTTTCAAAGCACCACTAGTATCTGATTTGTCACAGGAAAAAAGGACAAATAGGTAACTCCACAATTTATCTAGCCTCTGCACTATATCTATGAATGTGTCCTTTAAAAAGGCCATAGATTTACTAAAAAAATCAATGATACTTCAGTTTGAAAAGGGAAATCCATCAAATTGTTTGTCCAAGTGCTCCAACTAAGTGCTTCCCAGCATGTTTAGTGACCTGCATTACACAAAGTGTGAAATTTCCATCCCACTAGAGGCAAATTCCCACTGATTTCAATGGAGGAAAACCTTCAAACCCAGGACTGAATCACCTAGTCAGTGTTCCTTAGCTGCCCAGGTCAGATAGTAATTCATATTTCTCTAAGGTTTCCGCTAATATAAACTGAAATATAATACTTCAGACACCAGTAACATCTTTTGGCTGAGGGTAACAGGGCACTCAAACCTCGCAACAGAACTGGACGGAAGGTCCCATTAACTATCATCTCTGTTTGACGCATCGTAAAACTGAGGTACAAAGAAGTTAAGAGATCTGTCCAAAATCACAAAGTGAGTAATGGTAAGACTAAAACGTAGGTCTCCCAATTCCCAGTCTTGTGCCTTAACCAGTAAGTCACTCTATGGAGCCATTTTACATAGGAATTTTGACCTATGGATTCGTTTTCCAAGTGGCACAAGCACTTAACATATACAACAAAACTTGTAGTTTTACATAAAACTCACCTTTCCATTTGTTACTGGTCAACCAGATTCTAAAGTAGGGAGAAAGTTTTCCTCAAGATTTAATCAAATTCCTCTTAATTACACCACTGATATAAAATAATTTAATGAACAGGGACCTGGATGTAGGCTCACCAAATATGTACTTATCTAAAAAAAAGTATTTAGGTCCTCTACATAGTTAAATAGAACACAATAATTGAAATACTTTTTAATGCATATTCCTTCAATGTATACGTACCTTATTTATTTACATACCAGACACCTTTTCTCCAAAAATTAGTGACCAAAAATTGGGGTGTATATCTTACACAAGGAAACTGATTCTGAGTATTTGATTAAAAGAAAAAAAAATTTTTTCTTCATTCTACCTTCCCAAGACAAAATGCCTACCTTATTTGGTGGTGCACAGCATGCAAATAAATATGAGTATTTCTGAGTGTCAGCTACTGAGCTTTAGTTCATAGGAAACAGTGAAATATTTTGAAATTCTGGTGAAAAAATGTGTAATTTTGCAAATCTTTTTTTTTCTTCCTGTTTATCAGCTAGCTAAGATATGAAAGCAGTCAGTAAGACAACAAAGAAGTTTCTTTTAAGTGTCTACAGTTTAGGAAATCTAAAATGGGCTTTCATACATGCAGAAGCAAACAGACAAAGTGCACCTTCCCTAAGTAGTGCATGGCAGAGGGTTGTGCTGACTAATACTGATTTGCTAGAGGTAAATTCACGCTGTGTCTCACACATACTCAGAATTTGCAGTTCAAGCGAAGGCCAAAATTAGATGTATGGGAGAATGGAGAACAATTTTTTTTCCTAAAAACTGCAAAGGTGTCCTACATGGATACTTGATGAGAATTTGAGAATCAGCCCCTTCTATTAGTATCCAGTGCATGCTGTTCTCTTAAGTGTGGTATCCAAAATAGTCAGAAGAGGTATATTTTACTGGAAGGTACTCACTTCCAATTAAAAATGTGCAAAGTATTTTCTTAGCAAGACAGAAACCCATATAGGTGTTAGGCCTTGCTAGTACAAAGGGATAGCAGAGGCGGACTCCTTCGGAGAGTTCCACTGGTTGCATCCAAACGAGCTTGGCCACGTGGCATGTGGTGGTGCAGACCTATCTGTAGTGCCACACACTGCACATTCAGGTGTTTCCCATGCTGCTACCTTGCAGTGCAGGGGTTGGGTTTTTTGACCCTGGGAGATCCCAGGGTCAAAATAAGCTGCGTGGAAAAAAAGTGGGGCGGTACATCTGGAGGCAGTGTGCGCTGCCCAAAACCGGAGCCTGGCCGGTTGGAGCCACACTCTGGCTGCCAGCCAAACTCCCAGGTGCAGGAGCGCTGTGGCTGAAGCTTGCCTGGCCCCCAGGACCTAAGGTAAGGCTGCTGGGGCTAACATACCCCACCCGCAGTAACTTGCCATGTGCCAGAGTGGCACACCTTGTACCGCTGCTAGTTGTCCCTGGGGAATCAAATGTCTGTGCTTGTCTGGACGCAGCAAATTCAAGCCCGCTTTCTGATAACCTCAAATGTCATTGGCACTACTTGTGCCCATCAGCACTTCCCAGGATCAGAAAACAAGACTACCCCATCCTGTTAACATAATCAGAAACTAAATGCATTGGTAGTAATCTAGATTGTTACTTCTTCAGGGCAGGGATTGTCTCTTTCTATGTCTATGTATATCTCTAGTTCAGTGGAGTCCCATCCTCATTGGGAAACCTGGACTCTTCCATAAAACAAATAATGGATAACAAACAAACATCACAAAAAACTGTTCAGATGCAGGAGAACATAGTGGAAATATTTAAGCAAACTTTTCTGTGCCAAAGGGTTAAACTGCTTACAAACTCCTCAATTTGCAGTGAATGTACAGGGTAAGATTCTCACCAAGAGCAGAATTGAGTCAACACCAGATGCTTCCCTAAATCTTACCCCCAATGTCTATGCTGGTTGAAACTCTCCACCATTTTACCCATCAAAAGCTAGTAATGGGCTAGGAGGATTGGATCCAGGGCTTTGGTTCAGTATTGTACAGAGAAAACTTGGCACTGTAATTTGGATCCACAATAAGACTGTAACAGGAAAGGGATATGCACGTGTACACACCCACGTGTGTGTGCATGTGTATGTATGCATATCTCTTCCCTGTTCTGCTTGTAGACAAATATTTTACACTTTAATGTGACCTTTTAATTTAGCTTGTCACTTTGTTCACACACACACATGCGCACGCGCGCACGCACACACGTGTGCATGTGTATATCTATATCTCTATATCCCTGCCAAAGTCCACAGCAGAAGACAAAATCATCAATATTTAAAACAACATAAAATCAACTTCCAACCAAATAGTTATTGGAGCAAGTAGAGGAAGTATATGCCTTGATATTGTTTCTATTTTTGTACTGAAAAGACAAGGTTTAGTCTTTGTTAAATGTTGATAAGATAGTATTCCAGAAGCTACTAGTAGTAGCATTCTTGCATTAGCAATTCTAATGCAGAGACCTGTGCTACAGGATATTTTGGGAGGAAGATTTTTTGAAAATATTTACTCATATCAAAATGTATTTTAATTGTGCAGGGTATGACTTAGTTTCTCAAGGCCTGTGAAGTCCCCAGATATTGAGCTTTGCTTCAAAAGATTCTGCCTACTTAATGAGATGACAAGATTTGGGGAGAAAAGGTTGAGCCATAATATCCTCATATATAGTAGTCTTTCACCCTGAAACATTGCAAAACACTTCACAAACTATAAAAATATGCAATGACTGAAACAATACAAATATGCATTCACCTCAAGGGCAGAAGCTGACAGTCAGGAGGATGAACAAAATATAGTGCTTTGCTTGTCAACAGTGAAGAGTCAAGATTTTGTATAAGGACAGCAGAGGAAATTCCTACAAAAAAAAAGTGACACCACATTTCAATGAGATATTGGCACGTCACTCCCCTGGGCTCCTTTGACAATCTCAGTTTAAATGTTTATACAGAGCAGAAAGGTCTTAGCACTTAATCCTCACTATCATACCATACTACTCTAGTAGTCAGTCAATGGCTGTGGTGGTGCTCATGCCTGTAGTTGTCTCAACAGTTTTCCCCTAATGTTTGCAATTTTACTTTCTTGACTGAGGTGCCCAGAATGATGAAAATCCTTGGATATATAAGGCATTCTTCTTCTGGTAAACAATGTCTCCCTTAACATTTTTGTCCCTTCAAAGTTTGGTATTATTCCTATATGGGTCTTTAAGTGTGATGTGTTTTTTTTTCCAGCGTAACTCAACAAACCTGGTATGCTAAAGACATGGAATACAACAGCATAGGCATAACAGCCAGGGTCTGTACCCTGGGTGGCAGCGCCAGCAGGGGTGGGCTGGCTGCAGCAGCTGTTTGCTCACCTCCTCTTAGTAGGCTCCTGGAGGTGGCATGACTAATTATGCTACTGTACGAGAGGATGTTCTTCTACCTGGATTTGCAGACAGAGGTAAAAAAGAGTCCTAAATGCCATTTCCTAAGACTATACAACTCACTAGAGATGGCCAGGATTAAAGCCCTAAATTCCAACATTTCCCAATATTCAGTGGGCACGTCTACACAAGACACTAACTGTGTGTAGCCTAATAACACTGTGCAGTAGCGTGCCGGGCAAAAACCATGCAAATACACTACTGCACAGTAGTAATAGGCTAATGTGCAATAAGCATCACTAAAAACCCAAGCACTGGCGTGACTATGGAACAGCACAAGATACTGCGTATTGATTTAGTACTTGGCTAACCAAGTACTAAACTTAATGCACAGTAACTACGGCACATTAATGAATGTGTAGATGTGCTCAGTGTTTTCAAAGCCTAAGTCAGTCCAAGTTCTACAAAAGGGAAATCTACCTTTGCAATGGGCTGGACACAGACTCTAGTTATCACTAGAACTAGTAAGTAAACATTAGACATAGTCAGACATAAAAGCCATTTATTTGTTAAAATTCAGAGTCACATAATGGACAGCGGCTGAGAAAGAGGCAGGTGGTATAGAACTCACTGACAAATGCAGAGAATAAGGCACCCATTTGCTGTAGTCTTACATGAGCAAAGTGCTGAGTAATGAAAACTGCAAGAAATGGCTCGTTATCATCCACTGTAGGAATGGACAGTACATTCCTCTTAAATTAGGAGATAGTTTCTTATTTTATACTATAATAAGAAACTGGGGGGGGGGGAGGGGGGGGTTGGCCAAAAAAACAAAGACAAAGGGAAAACTGTGATTTAAACAAAGTATCTGATAGTTGGACCCATCAAGCAAACAACTATAAAAACCAGGAGGCTTTTTTCCATTAACTTCACTGACATTTAAAAAGGGTTGCTGATTTTTTTTTATTTTTCATCTCTTTCCCCCCCTTTCCTCCCAAAAAACAAAGCTGAGGCTTTCAAACAAAGCTGAATATCAAGATATAATAATCCCACAGCAAGTACATTTGTCTGCTGAAATTTCTTTGCCCCCACTTTTGGAGACCTGAAGGCAAATGCACAGAATCAAACGTATTTCTTTTATTAGTTGAAATCATACTGTCCAAATGGCACAACCTGTCTTCCTGGCCTGTCTCTTGAAGTTATAAAAGGACTGCAGGCTGTGAGACAAGCAGATTTGATCACATTTTCTCATTATATAATCTTTGGTTGTGCAATGTAGAGATGCTATACAGGATAGGAAAAGGGTTTGTAATAAGCATAGTATAAAATGTGGCTGTTTCTTTTACATGTTATTCACATTTTTAATGTTCTTTTGATGAACTGTATATAAATCCTATTAGTTGTGTGTCAGTTTGGGGTACTATTTTTTGAATGGCACAAAGGAAGGGAGAGACTCAATCTCCATTACTCTTAAGGGGGTTTATGCATTGCTCACAGTTAAAGTCTCTGCCTGGATGAAATTTGAAATGTTTAAAATACCAGAAAATCGTGTGCACAGAGCTTATGTTTTGGAACAAAATTTGCTTATATATTCCAGACCCATTAGAAAAGGTGAAACAGAAGAAAATGCTATTTTAAGCTAGTTGAATACCCTGCGTGTACCTATTTTGTACATAACGTACACAATATCTGCCTAGAAGCATGTTGCTCAGTAGCTGGCACTTTGACATTATAAAGTGACATACAGTTTCAATAGGTTTCAAGCATTCTTACAAAGGGAAATAAATATGGAGATTGGTTGTCACCGAACGTTTGACAAAACTCAACCAGCAAAATTTAAAATCACAAAAGGCCAAACAGATTTAATATAATATTTGCACTTCCTTCCTCTGCCAAATGAACAACTGGTTTAAAATGATGCATCTCTGGGAAGAGACCTTTATCCAACTATGTATATCACTTGACACAAAATATGCATCTGAACTGCTACAGTGATAGAAGAATATAGTTTCCAACATCCAACATGCCAAACTGAGTTTAAAGTTGTGTTCTGCTGGTATTCAGGCTTACACTCATTTTCTGTAATTCCAATACATTTATATTTGAGACAGAAATTAAAAGCATGAAGATGTTAAAACATGAAATGATTCCTTAAAATTCAAGTGACTTGTGCAACATTATTTTGTGCTTTCTACTTTTCTTTTTTCCCCAACTGTAATTACAATTCACCATGCCCCTTTACATAAATAGTAACAAATCAAGTTCAGTCCAGCACAGGCTTTCTACTCTCAGACTTGGCTTTGTACTACATGAGATCCTTGCAAATTCAAAAAGTGCATCTTTTTTGGTGATCTTTCTTCTATGTTGGGTGATGTGAAGCTCAAAGTATTCAATGGAATAAATTAATCTTGAGGTATGATTACAGCCTCCAAATGCTTCTTAAATGTAAAAACAATTTTTTTTTCTTTTTTTGAGATAGCTTTCTGGATTTAGAAAAAGACACACCACTTCTAATGGTGCTACATGAGCCAAGGTACAGTACATCATGGCACATCTCCATAACATAACTGAGAATGTTAGAATGGACTTCTATTTACAGAAACTTGATGCCACTTCCAGAAAAATATATAAACAGAAAAAACCCCCAATATTTCCTGAATGTCCTGAATTTTTAAAAGATTCACATAATTTTTCTTCACAACAATCCCATGGTCCTTCCAAAAATGTACTTTCCCTGGCCTTTTTAGCATGAACCCCAAATGTCACCAGCAAGTACTTGGAATCCTGTTTTCCCTTTGTGGCATACTGCTTCAGCTGTGTGAATACTTTACCACTCTTGTTTATTCACAAGCCAGTTTGCTGTCAAAGCTGGAGAGAGCAATGGCAAATGCTTGTAGTGCACACATTGGATAGTTGTAGTCCATGGTGAATACATCCTCAGCCACACGGCCAAACTGCATGACTATATAGTCAGCTGTAATAAAAGTCATAAAAATTGACAAAACGTTAACTTTTGCTACAGCCACTCCTAAATAAATATGCGCTCAGTGCCATCCTGCAGCCCAAAAACTAAAGCAAAATGTGGCTCTGGAGCAAATAATGCAGCAGTAACTCATGGAAGCAGTTGAATTGACTGCAGTGGCTTCAGCTCATATGAGGGCAGCTGGAGTGAGGGCTCAAATACTGAGACTCAAGTGGGATTTCCTTTACAATTTTACATGGATAACTAATGGGATCTTTAAAGAGAAACAACATAGCAGGCTGCTAGCAATTTGCCTATATAAGCATGAAATTCTCATCCCTATATTACTCCAACAGGTCCTTAGCATACCTTAGTGCAGCCCACAGCGCTGCTACAGTGCAACTGTGAGATCAAATTAGCTTCCACAGCAGTTTACAATCTAGAGGGTGGAAAGGTGTATTAAAGCTTCTCTTGCACTTCAGATGCTGCACTAACAGATCTGTAAGAAACTATCAGATCTCCATAGGAGTGTTTTGCCCTACTTTGCACCAATATAGATGAAGACAAGACAGAGGAGCAGTGAACAAGGGCCCACAGTTAAAAACAAACAAACAAACAAACAAATACATGAATGAAGAGGCTTTTCCATGATTCACTTAGGTAATAAGGGTCTGGACAAAATCACTGACAGTTTGTAGACAAAACAATTGATATGTCTAAGGTTCCAATTTGATGATCTGTACTTACGATCATTATCGTGAATAATTTGGAAGTTTTTCACTGAGGCTTGTGTGACTCGACCATGGAAATTTAAAACATAAGACTGGGTGTCATCATTCCAGACTGGAGTCTTGTTGTGCAGTTCAATGACGCTCTCTGTATTTTTGTTCTGCCATCTTGCGAGAAGCGTTTCATGTTCCTGTACATATCACACATACATACTGCTGTTTAGTACTCTCCGTGAGAAACCCAGTCTCAGAGAATTCCTTCAAATAACTATTATTATTGACAGACACTGGGACTTACGTTTCGTGGCCTGATAGAAACTCTTTCATGGTCCATATTCATGCCTGGTATGATCACACTCATTTTGCGAGGTCCTTTGAAGCCCAAGACATTTGTTTCCTAAAAAATACATTAGAAAAATATTTGTAATGCTCAATACATGTTTGGCCTTGGGAACTACCTTCTTTGGCAAAGCAGCAGCATGCAAAATTCATATGTTAAGTCACTCAAAAACTAGATGAATTTTCTGCATGCAGCAGGGCTGTAAAACACACTATCTTTGTTTTAAAGTTCTGGCAACAAAAAAATTGAAAGTGAACGGTTTGCAATATAAAGTCCTTTGTGACAAAGCTTCTAGAAGCGCTTACCGAGCACATTAATGCAGGTAAAAATTGATTGTTAAAGACAAATGTGAAATACCAAACTGCTTGAATACTGTTATGTACCACAGTAAAATTAGTTATAACTTCATACTCACTACATTCAGTCACATATTTTAATGAGAATGAAAGATGTAACAGCCACCCAGACTCATTTTAGTCTACAGCCAGCACAAAAGCAAAAGAGGAAGAGCTGCCAATGTAAGCATCTGTCAGTATTGCTTTGATTTGTAAAGGTCTCAGAAATGTCAGGCTTAGAAATGAGAATGCTAAAATAAACAAATATGCTATCATGAAATCAAAGGCAGGGACTGCGGGGAGAGAGAAAGCACACTGGCACCAATTAAATGCCCATGCAATGCATACCATACTAACTCAAATACAACACATAATACCCCTTTTCCCAAAATTTAGCTACTGAAAATTATGTTGCGTGTTTTAAGTGAGGAAATGTGGGGAGCAAAGAGCCTGATTCTGCAGGAGCCAAACTGCTCAGCCACTCTTTGAGCCAGGTGAGCAGCCAGCACTGCCTGCCAGGTCAGCTGAGGGCCCAGTCCTGCTGGAGCCGAATTGCCCAGGCCTTCCACATGAGCTGGGAGAGCCTTCAGCTAATCTGACAGGTACTGCTGGCTGCCCATTCAGCTCTGGTCCAGAAGAGGGGCCAGCTAGTTTGGCTCAGTCATCAGCACCTACCCTGTCTTGCAGCCAGAGGGTTAACAGAGCAGCCACGGATATTTCCTTCTATCCTACTGCAGCTGCCTGCATTTTCTTGCAAAAATACCATACATACTGGCATTTTCAAGGGTTGATTTTCTTTTTCTTCATTCTCCCTTTCAAAAACAAGTTGTCTTATTTGGTGACATGTTCTATGCTGGAAAATATGGGTAAGTTCTTCTAAAAAATGTAATTTTGCTATCTGACCAGGTTCTTATAAGTGTCCACTACTGCAGTACTCTCTCAATTACCACCAACCAGAAAGCCCAGGGTCCAGATTCTTCTCCACCCATCAAGTGTCTATGTGGACTTAGGCACCTAAGAGTGATTTTACTCCACCTTGTTCATGTCCTTTAATATCCATTAATGCATCTACTTTTGTAACAAAAGTGGATCTTACCCTTAAGACTGAGTTACAAAAAAGCAGCAAAGAGGAAGATGACCAATCCTCCAGCTATCTGGGGATTTGAGCAGGCCAATGTTAATTTAATTGCATGACTGTGTGATTTTTGGGCTCTGGGGTAAAACTTGTCAGGACCCAATTACGCAACTGCTGGCATCTGAATTTTTAAAGGTGCATTACACACCCCAGCATCAGGAACCAGTTTCCCAATATCATGCTGCATGGCATACCTTTCAACAGGCAAAGAGTGGCTATGTCCCAGCTGTGCCCCTGACTGGTAAGATGGGAGAGGAGGCAGCCCCCAAGTCCAGGACACAGCTACCTGCTGCTTGAGAATTATGCAGGGAGCAGTCTTCTATCTGGAATAACATGCTGCCATGTGGGGAGCATGAGATGGGGAATGGCTCCTTGATCTCAGGCTCCTTGCCACCTATATCTCAAATTAAAACAGGCTACACGCTTTAAAATTAAAACAGGCTACAAACAAGGCACAAAGATGATTCCCATTAAAGGTTTCATTGCACAATACATTTCTTGCATGTGTGGCATATAGCAATTTTTTCATGCAATTAACATGTTAATTGCATGAGAAATATAACATCTGTCAAGGGCCTTAGAACCCTTGTGTACCTAAAAAATGGGATAGGCAAAGAGGTCTTATTTTCTTCTCCCTCTATTATCACCTTCTTCTGCCTTCACTGAAAGGTAGGGTTGGCAAGCTAATCAATTGACTGGTCAAATATTGTCAATTGACCACTCAATTTATTGTATATTTTTGACTGATGAAAGATTATGGCAATTTTACAAAAAACCCTACATTTTTTGTAGTTTTCTTGACAGAAATGTGATTTCTTAATAGTTTTTAACACATTTCTTAACAGAAAATTTGTGCTTTTTCTGTGTATTATTTGGACCCCTTGGCAATGTTTAACAATTTTTGACTGATATTTGACCAGTCAATTGATGAAACATTATTTGTTCAGTCAAATGCCCAACCCTACTGAAAGAACTGTAAGAAAGATGTTGGCCTAGCACTCCGTGTAGGCATATCACTGCTCCCATCTATGTCAATGGCAAGTGCTACCTTAAGATCAAATGTTGGGCACACCTAATAATCCTACCCCACATATGTGTTTTTTTCCTTAGGTAATAAGCAAAATGAAGTCTATCTATGGGAGAGGAAGTGTTTTGGTCATGCCACCATACTAGAGGGGGGAAAAATTCCTTCCAAAGGCACTCCCCCCAGAGAGCTATGTTGGAGTATTGGAGTCACTTGGAAGAGGCATGATTTTCTGACCATAACCCAAAAACATGTAAGATGTGTCTAATTGGGCATAACAAACTATGGCATGCCCTATCACTAGATATTTTTGACAGTTTAGCATACAATTTCCTTGTGCAGATAACATCTATGTCATTCTCTAAACCTCCGAGTATTGCTATAAACAGTCCATGGAATTTGGCCTACAATTTCAGCAGGCCTTCAAAAATGTTTCAGCTATGCAGGATGACTCCCATTGAAATCCTGTACAGAAGCAGTTGAGAGTTATGTCTCCAATAAAACATTTAGTCATGGAAAACTTCTTAATTATTTAAAATATGTATGACATTGTCTTTGCCAGACAACCAATGGCATCTTTGCAACTGCCAATTTACACCCAATATTTAGACTGAGACCCAAATTACAGCGATTGTTGACAGCATATGTGAGCAAGAGAGAACTTAAATAACAGTGCAAGAGCCAACTTTTGAGAAGAAACTTGTGCTTATTTCACTAACTATTGACAGTTGTGGTTCTCTTGAGCATTTCTCAGCAAGTTGCAGTTGCTTTATATGCAAACCATTGAGACATTGCTTTGGTTCGAGACTTTGTTAAAGCTCTCAGTTAATACCCATTCTTTATCATTTCACTCCTAACAAGCAGTATTATCTCTCTAAAATTTCAGATATATATTCTTTAGAATTAGTTATAAAAAATTTAACTAATATGTCTGCTAAATGGAAAGGGAATAGAAGGGGAGGAATGAATTGATTTTACAGGGTAAATTATACCAGTCAATGATTACACCATTAAAGGATTTATGAAAGTGTTTATCAATTGGATGTCATCATTTTGCCAAAAATCAAGTTGCCACATGAAAATTCTGTCCTACATAAATATAGCATATATGAATACAGAAAACAGGGAGGCAAAAGGAGCTTAAATAAAGCCAGAACAAGCTTCATCTAAACTGAATTTTCCTTATCTGTTCTATCACTACCACCCCCACCCCCCACAAACGCACACAATTTTTGCAAATGTTTTCCGCATATTAAATATTTTCATGCGTAAATGCAGGGCTGTGGACAACAATACCTGGGGAACTTGGTAAAATTTTGATTTCACACCAGTGTAACTCAATGCTTTAACACAATGCTGATTTGTACTGGTGCACAGGAGCTAAAATTTAGAATCTGAGCCAGGCACTCAGTTTGCACAGATTACTATAGCTTCATTGACTAGTACAGAGCTATCATGATTTTCACCAGGTGAGCATATGGCCCCCTCTGTGTGACAGATCATCTGTCCTTGCCCAACTACTAAACTGCTCCTGGGAGATACTGTAATGGTGACTCACATACAGGAACTCGTTTTTACCCCTGGTTTTAAAACACAATATATATTAATTAAATCACAAGTACTGCATTGTAATAACAACCATCATAAAATCCACTTACTACATGCCCTAGATGCTTGAATACAAACTCTAATTTGGGAAACAGGCAGTATCTACTAGATTTTCATGGTTTCACCCTCTTCCTTTCTGGACATTCGCCACACAACAGTGACTTCCTCACATATACTGTGTAGAATAAGATTTGTTTTTGATTTACATACAAAGCCCAAACTTTCCCTAAAATTAAACATGAAGTTATAGTAGCTACCTCTCTGTACAAGGGATTCAGGGCCTAAGGAATGCTCTCTTGGCGAGAGTCTTTTCATTGAACAAGGCTGGATAAAACCATTTCTTATTAACTCTGCTATCAGTTTACAGAATCTGCTGCAGACTAAATTATGTGCTACAACCTGTGTGCTACTGGCTTGCAGCAAAGAATATAGCTAATGACCTACCCTAAGTCTCATTCTTGTCGTACTTCAGATTCAGTTTCAAAAGCACAGCTATTCTGAAATCAGCCATTGGGTGCTGCTGCAGATTTATTAATCAAGTATTCTGCCGTCATGCTATGGTTCTCTTTGATGAGAATACAACTGCCTAAGTGTGCTCAGATAAACTCAGTCCTTGGTTTTACTTTAGCCCTGGGTCCTACCCTGGTGAGGAGCTTCACAAGGGATTTCAGCACATTTACCCCACAATTAACAAGCTGTTGCCAGCTTTTGACTTCATTTGTATAACAAGACCTGCAGAGATGATTCAGTACAAATGTCTCCAGATGGGTACTTGATCGGATGAGCCTAGAGGGAGCTGAGTGCACAGGGGTGCTTTTGACATCTTAGACCAGATGTTGATTCCATGTTTTGCATAAGACTGAAATGAAAAATGTTACTTCAGGAAAAAGACATTTGGGGAACATGCTGTGTGGTGTTTTACTATCCTGCATTTATGCCGCAGCTGCTGTTGACGATCTTCATTTTAACAGGCATGGTCATTAATAAATAAAAACAAAATTTCCTTTTGCCCTGGGTTAAATAGAACACTTGCAGATCTACACATTCTTTCTGAATACAGAAAGATCAACTGAACATTTTTTCTTGTATACTTAAATACACTACTCCAGATATAGGCATGTGAGCAATGTGTCAATTTGTTTAAGCCCCATTCTCCAGAATCATATCCACTACTTGAATTCAATTGCACTAGTTTTATACATATGGAAGATAACTCCGAAGTCTACAGTGCAGCATTCGTGGGCTTAATGATGATGTTTAAATAGCCTGTGATTTTATGTAAATGGTGCAATGTCTCAATTTGAATATTTTAAAACTATACTTTGCCTTGTGTCTATGCTGCACTTTTTGAAGCTTTATAAAGCATTCTACCCTTCTCCCCCCCTATCCCACCATATAAGAACTCTGAGGTCATCTGACCAGAGGTAAGGTTAAGACATCAGGCAACTTGACTGGAGATGTGGCATGCATGTGCAGAAAGTATCTTTCCTTTGTTTCCTCATGGCTTCCCTGAGAGGCAGTTTGAAACTGGGAGATGGAATAGCTCAGAGATTACAGGCAACCCCTGCTTAGCACTCTTAATTGGTTCCTGAAAAACCAAGCGTTAAGCAAAATGAGCGTTAAGTGAAACCAAAAGTATCTGACAATCAAAGATGGTGACCGCAAGTGTTTTTAATGACCCAAGATGGCGACCATGAGTGTAATAATGAAACTCACTGAGCACTGAGTGAAATCAGGTATCAATTTAAAATGAGTGTTATAGAGAAATAGCACTAAACAAAAGAGCATTAAACGGGGGTAGCCTGTATATGTTATCTTGTACCAGTTTAATGTAATGGAGAGAATTATTTTGAAAACTAATTTCTTTTTCTTGCATATTTTGCCTATGAGCAGTACTTACATAACAAATAGCAGCTAGCTCCTGACGCAGGTTACTTGCTTCTAGGCTTGATGTTGTTTTCATTGGATTTACGCCACTGTCATATACTGTAAACTTAGTTCCCATAAGATTTGATCTATCAAAAAACCAGGAAGACATATTACCTTTGTCAACAACAGAGTCCAACCTATCTAATTCATTATCATATCAAAGTCTCAAATGGTCATAAAACCATGAAAAAACAGACATATTAACTGCAAGTAAAGAGGTAATATGAATTTCCAAATCATCATGTACTCTTGGGACAGAGGTGCTGAGTATGCTGGGGCCCAACTTCCTTGGCCCACCTCGAGAAGAGGGTTGTCACCTGAAATGTGTAAAACTTTCCATGTATCCATCATCTTAGGCCCCTCCCAGAAAAAATAAAAGTTGGTGACTATGCCTTGGGAGGTAAGCTATAGCAAAAAAAGTGTGGTATAGTGAAGGTCCATATTATCACACTAAGCTTGCAGAACTGTCATGACGTCTCTTAATCAAAGTACAAGAGCACAATAAAAACTCATCAAATATAATAAAGCCATAGTTACTTTTTTTAGCCACTAGTGCTATCAGACAACAACTTTCATATATAGACATAAATTTTCTATATATATTTGCATATACGTGAAAAGATTTTAACAACATTAATTTCCCTCCATTTTTCTTTAAATGGAGGTCATAAAATGTGCGTGGCAATAAACTTTGAACTTATCATCATATTATTCTGTACGTGTTTTGTGATGCTCTTAGACACTTGGGTTCTAAGCACAAAACACTTACAGAAACTTGGGTTCTGGTGTGCTAAGTACCGTACAAGCATATAATATGGTCACTGTGCCTAGGAACTTACAGTCTGTGTGTCAGATGTGGGCGGAGTGGAGAAGAAAAGTATATATACTTCCTCTTATAAATAACACTACTTAGTATCTTTACGAAAGGGAAAAAGACAAGAAAACTCAAAAGTGTGTAAGGGCGGACTTTCAAAAGCATTTAAATCAGTAGGAATCAAACCTTTACCCTGCTTAGGCATTTTTGAAAATCCCGTTAGGCCAGTGGTTCTGAGCCTCATTATACTCAAGACTCCCTTTAGAAAATGCTATGGATTTATCTTAGGAATAATGTGTAGGTGATTGCACATTTAATGCTAATATTGAGAGGCACCTCATGGCACTTTTAAAAGGTTCTTGCAACAGCCCATGGCCCCGTGGCACCCTGATTGAGAATTAATGCATTAGGCATTTCTGTACATTATTAGATGCTAAAATTCCTTTGACACTCTGGCCCTCAGTGCCTAAAATCACCTTTGAACACAGGTCTTACGTTGCTAAGTCACTAACATAAATTGAAAATGTTATGCATAGACTGGAGTCACATGGTACACCAAGACTGTAATTAGGAGGTTTAAGTAATTTGTAGGAAATTTAGTTTCAGATAAACTGACTATTCTGCTAAGAAAATAAATTTCATCTTCTGGCCACGTATTTTGGGTGCTTATATGTTTACCTTAGTTTTCCAATGAAACTCTCTCCACCACGAGACAGGTCAGTTGGGTCTATGGAGATGAGGTAATTAGAGGTTTTGCTCTTCTTTCGTTTCCTTCCAGCTAATAGAAATACCTAAGGAAGTCATAAAATGTCACATTCTGGAATATCAAAGACAGCCTGACCCACACCACTCTGTCCCCAGTAAAAGAAACCATGGGCAATGCTTCTGTGGTTCACCGTTGTCAGCAAAGATACAGAAGGTCACCAGAGGATTAGCAAAAATGGGTAAAAACCAGAAAGGGACACTGACTGCTCAGCTCCTCAATCCATTATTTATGGCTTAAATAATTAAACCCAGTACACTTTGTTAAATGTTTAATTCTAGCTTGTACTGGTTTCTCCAAGGGAACTGAAAACAGATGCCCTTCAGGTCATACAGGGCAAAGAACCCAATTGTTAACTATTATGTTAAGCTGCCAAGAAAGGACTCTTTTATGGCCACGTAGTAAGATAAAGAAGAGGAAAGTAAATGGATTGTGGTGATAACATTGTTTAGTTTGATTTACACTGCATAGGACCAAGCTTTTAGTCAAAGAAGGTCTATAATTATACTTTCTGGGTACAAGTCCTGAAAGCACATTTTATCATATTAAATTCAGGTGCAACTGGTATGCCATTTAAATATATTCTATGACCTTTTTACCGTCCTCCCTTTCCAAGTGGAGGTAATAAGTGGGGTACATTCCTCGATCCATTCCCTTCTTGTCTCTTGTGATTCGGCATTTGACTGTGACGCCCTGAGGAGCGGGTCTGACAGCAAATTCTTCCAGATCATCGACATCTATGACAGCTTCATTTGTGGAAGGGCTGGGTGCTGAGGCTGCTTCCTGAAAGAGTAACAGAGTTTACCCTGAGGTTTCCTCATGTTTCCTTCACAGTTACAAAAGGAAGACGGAAAATAGGAAAAAAAAGGTTAAAAAAAAACCGCAAAAAAAGAAAGAAAAAAACAATAGAAGTCACTTCAAACAAAAACAGGCCACACTGTCTCCTGCCCAGCCACAAATGGGTGGGATTTGAATACAGCTGCTCAGGTAGAAATCTCCACTTGTTTCATGGGTGAGAGCTCGTAGCTCATGTGAAGCTCATGCAGAAGGCTTTAATGCCAGCTGTGCCCGTATAGAGGATCAATTAGGAAAAAGAGTAGCTCAGTGATTCTTAATCAGAGAGCAATGACACCCTGGGGTGCTAGGAGATTCTTTGAAGGGGACCATGAAGTGTGAGGAGAAAAGTGAGGTGTGAGAAGATAAGCAGGTAAGGGCAGGCTCGTCCCTGCCTAGCCCGTACCTCACCCCACTGTGTAGCCCCTCTCAAGCACTGTAATATGTAAATTAGATTTTAAAATCAATTTACAAAAGTTATGGAGAGATGCCTGGTCTCCAGTGAGGGGTAATTTGAGTCCAAAAATGTTGGGAATCACTAGAGTAGATGCAACTGGAGATTCAGGCCAGGTACGGATATTCAGAAAGCCCGAGGCGGAATCAGTCTAAGTTATGTGTGGTGTTCTGCAAGCGGTGTAATTTAGACCCATAGCAAACAGAACACACATTCGCCCTGTGGTGGTGGGGGAAGCAAATCCTAGACTGGGTTCTGCCTTTTTTAAACCAGTCTGTGTGTGCCAAACTTCTGTTCTGTTACCAGTTTCTGATCACTTATCCCAGTAAAAGTGTAATGTCTGTACCTGGCCTTGGAGTCATAACCAGCACTAAACAAACTCCAATTCAAATCCCTAGATCCAAACTCCCTCCAGTTTGTATTTGATGATAGTGGATGTTTTTAGTTTGGTGAAAGGAAAAGGGAATTCTGTACAGGCATGGAATACACTGGAGGAAAGGCTGGGAATGCCAGCAGAGACATGAGAATACTCTACCCACTGCTCATCAAAGAACAGAGAGCAGAAAGCAGTTTCAGCAACCGTCAGAAGTGTCTGAGGGTTTGGCCAATGTTTTTGATTTATAAAGTGTAAACTTTTTAAAATTGTAACTTACCTTGGCGTACCAATAACAGGAGCAGTGACAAGTACAGAGCAAGAAAACAATGCAGCCATCTATCTATCTATCTATCAAATTGTATATGCTACTGCATACATAATTATGTTCCCCCCATGGTACACAAACAATATTTTTAATTAAATGGATGAACTAGAAATTCTATCTATCTATCTATCTATATTCGAACAATTTGATATTTACCTATTTTTCTGCCTCTTCATTCAAGTTCAGCAATATTAGCTATATTTCTATTTCTGAAAATACCTGACTTGACTTGTCAATTAAATTACCTCTTACTTTTAGGCTGAACCTTTTTATCCATTCCTATTTCTTGCTTTCAGAAGCCCCTTTCTCATTCATCCTTTTCTTGTAACTTCTATAAGCCCTGTGATGCACTGCATCAAATCACCCTCAAGAGGCTTTTGTCCATGTTAGCAACCCTGGTTTTCTGACCTGGAAACCAGGCCATCCCTATTAATCAATAGGCAACACTGCAACTGCATCGCAGTCTCCTCACCTTGTTCGATTTTTTGCTTGTTGCAGAACCAGGCCGGGTGTTACTGTTTAACTGGGAGGAACTTGAACTGTCTTCATCCTCTTCATCTTCTTCTTCATCAAAATTCATGCTGCTGGAAATACCTAAGGAGCAAGGAGCCAAATCTATATAAAACAGAAATGTATTAAAACTGTCTGCTCAAGTACACAGTACAAACTCTTGTTATGTATGCTTTTGCTGCAAGCAGAGGCAGGACCCCAGCATTCTAGACACTTTACCAACACATGGTATGAGACACAATCTGGCATAAGCAGCTGACAGTTTAAATACACAAAACACAAAGTCATGGATAGAAACGAAGTATCATTATCTGTTCTAGAGAGATGATGTGATTTACCCAACGTCATACAAGAAGCCAGGAATTTAGTCCATATCTCTCAAGTCCAATCTTATGTCTTAAACATGCCATACATCCCTACTTTTGCAACTGGACCTGTGTGCAGCTCCTTTCAACTACATGCAAACCTTAAAAACCTCTGTACATATTAGATATATAATATGTGTATGTATTACATACATTATGTATAATATGACCATATATTATATGTATATGTGTGAGTGTGTGTGTGTGTATACACACATACATATACAATTATACATATATATATCTGCACACTATGTCTGCAGAGATGACATTATTATATTATATAAGTAAATGATGACCTCTATAAAATCAGGCTCTGTAGTCATGCATGTTTGCTTTTGGCAAAAATAAAGAAATAAGCCCAGGACAGAGGGGTTCCTTCTTAGCATTTATGTATGTCATGTTATTAGTTTTAATTAGTTCTGGGACAGCCCAACCACCAGACCAATGAGATTATGGAACTTGAAGACCAAGTTAGGCTTGGAAGCAGGAGGTATTGCTAAGCAGTTGCTGGGAAGTCTACCAGACTTAGTTTTCCAAGAGTTTTATGAAGGTGAAGCTGTTTTTCTCTTTTGGTCCAAGGCATAAGTTACAGTTGTTAGATAGATGACAATGTGCTGTATTTTTTTCCTCCCTAGTTTTGATTCAGACTTTCCAGTATTGTTAAATCAAATACAGAAGCATAAATAGGACAAATGGTAACTTAAGTCCTTGTAGCTGAGAAGTAGGGGCAAAGTGAACTTTTTCCTTTTGTACTTACCTGGAGCATGATCCAGGGCCACAAGACTGGACTGGGAGGTGGAAGTGGACCAGGATGTATTTGCATGGGGATCTGGGAAAGGAAAAAATCCATGGGCTTCATTCTGCAAACCCATAATCGTGAATAATTCTTACGTGTCAACAGGATTCATCATGAGAGTAAGGGCTTGCTGGATGGGGCCACATCTATGCTGCCATAACTTTCAACTAGTTTTATAAAGAAAGAAACGGCACACTTTGAAAAAAAAATGACTTACATCAGCTGAAGCCTGTTGTCACTTCCCTCTTAGTATTTTGAATTAAATCAGGAGGAGCTGAATTGTGAAACTAAGGTTCCAGAATGCATTATTCATGCCAAATTGCTGGGTTGTAAAACTTCCTGAACATTTTGTGCATGTCCTTCACAGTGAGTCTTTGGCCCACTTCTGAGATTTGGCATGCACAGATGTAATTTATAGATGCACACTAATTTGATGGGAATGTTTCTCTTAAGAGAGAATGTTTATTACACTTAAAAAATACTTATTTTACAACAGTCAAAGACTGAACTGAACGAAACCAAACCAATCCAAACCAAACCAAAACCAAACCAAACAGACATATACTACAAGCTGAACAACTCCTGGCAATTTTCTTGCATTTGAATTTTGACACGCAGTAATATGGCATGCCAGAGTCTTTTTAATGTATTTACTTTCTTTATTTTATTGTGACATTATTGTAAATGCCTTTAGTTAATGTTGACGCCAGGGTTAAGTTGCACAAAGAAATAATGCACAGAGATAAAAGTGGGTGTATATGGCTGAAGTATTCCTGAAAAATACTAAACAATGTGTAAGGATGTACAACAGGTGTGGTTCCCTCAACCCACTGGTTCAACTCCCCTGCTTGGAAAACAAACAATACAAGATGGAGTCAAAGAGCCTCCAACACTATGCTGTATGTAGGGGAACCAAAGTGACTACTCAAAAGCTTGAAGATCTAGACCCATTACCTTTCACCATTCATGAACAGGGACTGACCCACGCAGAGTATTGTTAACGGGCCTTCTTTGATTCCCATTACAAACATTAAAAACTACTTAACATGACCCAATTTTTCAAACGCTGGCATCCAAATTATATCACAGCTTTATGTGTTCAGAACACTTTCCACATCCCAAATTGGTGATTGTGCATAAAAGCATGTATTGAAATACATTAAAAACACATAAGCATAAAGAATTGTATTCTGTATTTATATCTATTGTACACTCTTCAAATTTTGCTGGTGTAATTTGTGCCACTATCTGAGAAGCTGGCTCTGAGCATCTTCTATAAGGAGTGATTTAAATAACTCCTGTTTCAGGTTTGATCTCAGAGAACAAAATCTACTGCTGTCCTAAATCTCAAAATAGCTGCAAATTTATTTCTACCCAGCAGTGAAGAGTTAAGACTTTTCAGACTACTACATTCCAAATTGTTCCAATGACATTAATGAATCTGGCAAGGGAAAGAACAAAGGTGTTAGCTTTCCAGATCTTTTTTTTTCCTACAACAGGAGGAAGCGTGTCTTTGTTCAAGTGACTCACTCGCCAAGAAGGAATTCTATACATTACGGCTGCTGAAATCAAATGGCAGAATATTTCCCCTAGGAAGAGAATGATTCTAGTTCTGGCACCTTGTGGAATATGGGGAAATCAAATATAACATTTGGCATTTTCTTACAAGGAGATTATTCTCTATACACTAATGTATTCTAAAACCTATCATATCATAATTGAAACAGACTTGCTTGATGCTCTCTGGGGAGCAGATATGCATCTGTTAATAGGGGACTCTTGCCACATAGTTATGTCAAACAGCAGACGGGTTCAAATCAGGGCCAAGCAATTTTAGCAACAATCAACATAGCTTTTTCCTTCCAGGCCCATCCATCAGCATTCCCTTAAGCACGCCTTTCCCCTACCCAAACTTGTACAGAATGAAGATGGTATGTGAATAACTGTTCTCAAAATACCCACAGCAGTATGGTTCTGTAAACCCATGGTGACATGGCAACAAAGGTGTCCTGGAAGCAATGCAAAAGCACTGGGCCTCTACATGAAAGCTCCAACCCTAAATAAATGTTGTCAGGGATTTAGGGACACCCATGGGTTGGAAAATCTGTCTGAAAAGCTGCTAACTCACTCCACAGCGCATCATACCGCCCCTCTAACAGGTATACACCATGGAACCTCCATTTGTTGAGACCCTTCCTAATACCCTCCTTAGCACATTGCACTGATAGCACAAGAGTCACGAAACCGCAGAGCACCCTCATTCAAATACATACCCTCACACAAACTGGTACCGTGCCCCAAGTGTGCCTGTTTGAGCAGGGTTACTATTCTGATCAAGAGTACATTCAGAACACATGAGAAATACATTTAAGTTTACAATTCAGACACCACCCTAAAATCAAATTAGGAAAATTCACCCAGGTTTGGTGAAAGCAAAAATGCATTTTATAAACTTATTTTACCCTGGAAGACAAAAGAAAATAGACTACCCTCCAAAAATAACACCCATTGGTTTGACCAAACTGAAAAGTCTACTTATAATTTTTACAATAACCAGCTTTAGTGAGTCACATACTGGGAAAATAAATATTCTGAGCCTCACTTTAAGTGACAATTACCACATGGGTCAGAACTTGTTAGTCATCTTGATGTCCAATCTAGTTTCTTTTTATGACCAGGTTACGAAACGCCTGGACACAGGAGGAGGGGTGGATGTTGTATACTTAGACTTCAGGAAGGCCTTCGATACGGTATCCCACCCCATACTGGTGAACAAGTTAAGAGGCTGTGACTTGGATGACTACACAGTCCGGTGGGTTGCGAATTGGCTGGAGGGCCGCACCCAGAGAGTCATGGTGGATGGGTCGGTTTCAACCTGGAAGGGTGTGGGAAGTGGGGTCCCACAGGGTTCGGTCCTTGGACCGATACTCTTTAATGTCTTCATCAGTGACTTGGACGAGGGAGTGAAATGTACTCTGTCCAAGTTTGCAGATGACACAAAGCTATGGGGAGAAGTGGACACGCCGGAGGGCAGGGAACAGCTGCAAGCAGATCTGGACAGGTTGGACATGTGGGCAGAAAACAACAGAATGCAGTTCAACAAGGAGAAATGCAAAGTGCTGCACCTAGGGAGGAAAAATGTCCAGCACACCTACCGCCTAGGGAATGACCTGCTGGGTGGCACGGAAGTGGAAAGGGATCTTGGAGTCCTAGTGGACTCCAAGATGAACATGAGTCGGCAGTGTGACGAAGCCATCAAAAAAGCCAATGGCACTTTATCGTGCATCAGCAGATGCATGACGAATAGATCCAAGGAGGTGATACTTCCCCTCTGTCGGGCGCTGGTCAGACCGCAGTTGGAGTACTGCGTGCAATTCTGGGCGCCGCGCTTCAAGAGGGATGCGGATAACCTGGAGAGGGTCCAGAGAAGGGCCACTCGTATGGTTAAGGGCCTACAGACCAAGCCTTACGAGGAGAGACTAGAGAAACTGGATCTATTCAGCCTCCGCAAGAGAAGGTTGAGAGGCGACCTTGTGGCTGCCTATAAGTTCATCACGGGGGCACAGAAGGGAATTGGTGAGTATTTATTCACCAAGGCGCCCCCAGGTGTTACAAGAAATAATGGCCACAAGCTAGCAGAGAGCAGATTTAGATTGGACATTAGGAAGAACTTCTTCACAGTTAGAGTTGCTTATGCAGGGGGTCGGACTCGATGATCTGTTGAGGTCCCTTCCGACCCTAACATCTATGAATCTATGAATCTATGAATCCTCTGGATCAAAATACTCAGGAAATTTCACATTTGGAGAAAACCTGCTCATTGCAGGCAGAGTTGTTCATATCTGCAGTGTGAAGCTTTTGAGAAAATGAATCTCAGTGAGACTGCTGTATGAAAAGAAACTAGCATTTAGGTAAGAATAGTCTATTCTGCATCAATCAAGTTTCCACACACATTTTGCTCTTTGTAGAATCAGAGTATATTTTTAAAGCCCTGGTTTCTGTCTGCAGAAGAGTTCTGGCTCAAACTATCTTAACTTCAAAGGCTGCACACTGCAGAAGCCAAGCCTTTAAAGCAGATGGCTTCAGAAAAAAAAATAAAGCATTGTGAAAATGTCAAGATTTCTTTCCTCCTGATGCCAGAGTTTGATGAAAAGTAATGCTGCTAAAGAAAAAGAGCGCACACACACACAAACATGCATGCACATGCGTGTGCACACATATGCATGCGCACGCACACAGTCATTTCATTCCAAACTGCAGCTGTCCTTGAAAAAAAACTCCTGAACAGTTGAGAGGATTGCTGCCAAGAACAGGCACAAAGTGTAATGCGGTACAGTAGTACACAAAATACAGCTGTCATTGTCACCTTGATGAACATGAACCTACAATAGGAATATATTAGCGGAACAGAATCGATAAACCAAAACTTAGATAGTTTGCCTTCAAGTTTAAGTTCAAGTGCTTGAAATCCTTTTTTTCAGCATTAACATATGTTCCAGTGTCTTACAATTCAGATTGTTAACTCATAGGCATGAACTTTAACATCTGCCTCCTCTCTCGACAGCAGTGCTACACTGCGGTATGGCAAAGCTGTGTAGGAGTCCCTTGCTCCCCAGGCCAATGGAGAACTTCATTACTATTATGGAGAAAATATTGAGTACTGAAAGAATGGTGCTTTCTTCTGGCAGTAGAGACTTAAAGGGAAAGTACGAAGGATCATAAAGTCTCTTAGTTTGAGAATGGAACAAAGCGTCAAGATACAGAACAGAATAAGTAATACAAGCAGATAGTTTTGGTTACTTACCCTTTTTCTGCATTGTTGCTCTAAGGTCCTGCTTGCTTTGTTGCTGGCCACTAGCTGTCATCTCTCCATCATCCTCATCATGGTTAGACTGTCCAACTGTAAGAATCTGAATTTGGCTTCCTATCTCCTTAACCTCATCTTGAAAAGCAGCCGGGCCATCAATTCCTGTCAGACAACAGCAAAATTCTAGTTGTTGTTGTTGTATAAAAGAATTACTAAAAAGCTAACAGTTCAGTCAGAAGTACTGCGAAGTACTTATCTAAGAAACGCAAACTCAGCAGTCCATCTGAAATTATATTTTCATGACTAAAATAGCCTCTAAGGCAAATAACTCACTTCCACAAGCATTCCCAAGCCATTTGGTTTGTTCCCAGAACTACGACATTATCTCTGCTAGGAAAGAGCTGTGACCCAGAATCAAGTGTTCTGAGTTCTGGCACACACGAGAGTTCATAGAACAAACCTACTTAGCTTCAAAATGCTCCGGTCTGACACTTCCACAACAAACACCCTCATTAAATCTGGGGTAGATTTTATTGGAGCCGCAAATGTCAAACCTTTCTTTTGGTTAGGTGAGTTGTGGAAGCAACTGGAATGTGTGTATATCTATGGGTCTGAGGACAGTGAGAGACAATAATGAGATGAGTTTTTCACTTCTAGCCTGCAGACTTTTAATTTAGCATAACTGTTTCCATGAGAAATAAAGACCTCATTTTCAGTGTATTCTGGGGGTGTAAAACAGATCAGATACTGCAGAGATTTCTGCATATAAAAAATGCTAAATATAAAAAGTGACAAGCTGAATTTCACATAAAAACGGCACATGTCAAACAGGAAAGATGCAGAGAAGTTCACACTTACAGAGTTTTTCACTTAAATTATTATGAGCCTTGTTTCTTCTCTGGAGGTTTAATGTGCTACCAGAACCCCCATGTCCAGTGTGCATCTCACTCCTTCAAAAGGGGCAGTCTATATACTTATATAATTTGGTGCTATATTTAGGCACTTCATTCAGCTCCTACTTGCCTAAAATGAGGAGTTAGGCACATAAATGAAGATGCAGTTTGCTCAGCTAGATGTGCCGATGTTTATAAACAGAGCTTTATTATAATGCATTATTCATATTACAGTAATGTCTAGAGATCCCAACCAGGAGCTTGGCACCATTGTTCTGGGCTCTGCATATTACACCCCCCCTCCCCCC